AGAGAGAGAGAGAGAGAGAGAGAGAGAGAGAAAGAGAGAGAGAGACAGAGAGAGAGAGAGACCCAGAGAGAGAGAGAGAGAAAATGAGGAGAGCGGGTAGGTCTGCCGACTAACCACATGGCACTCCCCGAGTTCCCAGCTCATTATGTCCAGATTTAGCTCACTGGCCAAGGCAGCAATTAGGAGCTGCAAACCCTTAACCTTTCAGCCTGAGTCCATGGGTAGCTAACATTTTCGAAATACCCTTCCAACACCGCTTCGGATTTAGTAAGGGTTGTACGACACTTGCAACACTACATTAGGTCGTGAAGTGATTCTGACAGTGGCATGTTTGTAAACTATTTGGTATTTGTGTAATATAGTGTATTCATGTGTGTATTTCTGCATGTATTTATGTATGTACCTATTCATAATTATGTATTTATGTATGTAAATGTATGTTTGCCACTGTAAAACAAAGTGCCCTTTAGGGACAAATAAAAAGTGTAATTTATTATTATTATTATTATTATAGACCTGGGCAGAGGACGATACAGCGCCTCAGGAGACAGAACAAGATGGGCCTGTTTGATATCAGGGTCTTCTTCAGTTGGGAGTTGAACCCTTGCCTACTGCAGGCAACGGTTGGTTACTTTACTTTACTTTTTTTATCCAGCGACCATTTGAGTTCTAGCCCTTAGGCCTGTCGATATGGCAAAGAATTTACAGGCTTTTATCAGCTGTTTTGTCGTTGTATAGAGTATTTCCGATGTCAAGGGAGGCAGGTAGGTAGGTAGGTAGGTACTACACAGGTCGCTAAGTGCAAGGCAGGCAACGGTTAAGAACCTAACCATTACACCGCAGACGCTATTTATGTTTGTCTTTGTGTGTGTGTGGGAGTGTGTTTGTGTATGTGTGAGTGTGAGTGATAATGAGGGCATGTGTGTTTTTGTTTGCGTGCATATATTATGTACTTGTGTTTGTGTGTGCTTTTGTGTGTGTGTTTGTGTATGTGTGGGCGGGCGTGTGGTTATGAGAGCATGTGTGTATGTGTACACCTGAATGCCTTTATGAGCATGTGTGTATGGATGCCTTTGTGTTAGTGTGTTCCTGTGAGTACCCACTATGACTGTCGAGTGTGTGAGTGTGTGTACACTATGACTGTCCAGTGTGTGAGTGTGTTTACACTATGACTGTCCAGTGTGTGAGTGTGTGTACACTATGAGTGTCGAGTGTGTGTGAATGTGTGTACACTATGACTGTCGAGTGTGTGAGTGTGTGTGAGTGTGTGTGTGAGTGTGTGTACACTATGACTGTCCAGTGTGTGTGAGTGTGTGTGAGTGTGTGTGAGTGTGTGTACACTATGACTGTCCAGTGTGTGTGAGTGTGTGTACACTATGGCTGTCCAGTGTGTGAGTGTGTGTACACTATGACTGTCCAGTGTGTGAGTGTGTGTGAGTGTGTGTACACTATGACTGTCCAGTGTGTGTGAGTGTGTGTGAGTGTGTGTACACAATGACTGTCCAGTGTGTGTGAGTGAGTGTACACAATGACTGTCCAGTGTGTGAGTGTGTGTACACTATGACTGTCCAGTGTGTGAGTGAGTGTACACCATGACTGTCCAGTGTGTGAGTGTGAGTACACTATGACTGTCCAGTGTGTGAGTGTGTGTGAGTGTGTGTGAGTGTGTGTGAGTGTGTGTGAGTGTGTGTGATTGTGTGTGAGCGTGTGTACACGTTACAAGCGGCAGTAAGAAGTCTAGAGAGCTAAGGTCTAACTACAAGAACCTATAAAGATACTAAAACTATAAACAAAACAAAATAAAATTTTTTCCTAAAAAACGATAAGGGGGAGGGGCAAAAAGAGACAAAGAGAATCAGTAACTACTTTGCTTCCTTTCATTTGGTTCTTAGTGAAAGTTTTAAGGCACTTGCAACACAATAAGGTCATATAAGTGCCGAAGATTAGAGGTGTTACAAGAGAGTAACAAACATTAAGAAAAGGAGGAGAGATGAGGACGATAGATGCCTGATGGGAAAGAAGGAGCAAACTACCCCAGAGCACCCGCCAACCACCTACTCATTTGGTCCAAACACACAGAGAGAAAAAAACAACACATAAAACGGGGACACATCTCTAAAGTTCACAAAATTCTGCACGCAAAGAGATTAAAAGTGGGGAAAGAGAGAGAGAGAGAGAGAGAGAGAGAGAGAGAGAGAGAGA